ATTTCTGAATTGCCTGGGGCTGGTCAGCTCAATGATGATATCTCAAGACTATCACCCTTTCCGTGTTAAACAGGGATAATTTTCAAAATACCCCCATAAGTTAAGATATATGTCAAAATGTCACTGAAAGATGTGGGTAGAGTAGAATGTCTCTCTGACAAAAATATTTTTTTGTGAAATACCCCTTTTGTCGGTTGGACCCCCCATCTTTGTGACATACCCCTACCGGGTACCATCGAACTTTGCAAAATACCCAGAACTTGGCAACTTTCCTAAGGCCTAGTTGCAAAAGGCCATGCCCAAACAGCGAGGTCCAGATCGCAAATTTGCACACCATCCTGACAGGGGCATAACACAAAGATTTCGGCCCAGAAGGGCATTCAACTGTACCCACATCTTTCAGGGGCATTTCGACAAATATCTCAACTTACAGGGGTATTTCGCAAATCATCCCTTAAAAAAAAAAAAAAAAAAAAAAAAAAAAAAAAAAAAACGGTAGTAGCCCGTAGTCTCAAGGTCAGAATCAGCACCCCAGATAAGATACTGGCTGGAGCAGCGGCCGTGCGAAAACGTGCGCTAACGGAGCGGCGATAGCGGCGCCCATCGGCGGCGGCGGCCGTGTAAAACGCATTGTCAGAGCATGTGGACGCAAACTTCTTTCATGAAGCGCCTACCCTGCCAGGCACCATAGCTGTGTGAGAGCTATGGCGACAGTACCCTGGCGTAGCCTAGCCCTTGAGTGGGTAGGGAGTGCTCTGCACTCTTACGCCATGGCACCCTGGCAGCTCCGCACCAGACCTCCATACCAATCATCATACCTAACAAGGTTTTGATACCAGAGGAGTCGTCCTCCCCTCAAGCCTTCTGTTGGAAAGGCGGGGCTCCTTTTTCAACATTTAAAAGCTGCGTGCTGGACTTTCATGATACGCAATTTTGACTACCTTGATCACTAGGAAAGCATGAAAGGCAGAGCGGCGCATCTGGACGCTGCGGGAGAGTGTGCGGTTGCGGTGGCAGCGCTCTTGTATATCCAAGGGCTACAACAAGTCTCATTGTAAGGCAGTCTAACCTCCATCTACTCCATGTGCTGGTTTTTCACTTAACTTGGCTGTTGTTTTTGTCTTTTATGTCCTGCCTAGTTCTCCGTCCTTAGTTTATGACAGAGTTTGTGGGCTTTCGGTCGTGGGCATTGAGTTCTTTGAATGAATGAGGTATCTGTAGGAAACATTTGCGGAATGTTTAATTCTCTCGTATGATTGATGGTCTTTGTCAATTGTTTTGCGCCGAGGTTAGGTCGTAGATTTGTGCTTAATGTTGCAAGTTTTCAAAAATTATAGGTTCATTTATAGAGTCTCGATGTACCTTAGTGTTTCGTTTTTAGAAACACGTATTGTTGAAATAATTAAGGATTCAGGGAGAAAGATTTTTTTTTTTTTTTTTTTTTTTTTTTGCGATGTATGAGAGTAATTTTGTGATTTGCTCTCCTCGATTGTCTTAGGTAATTTTGCCTCTTGATAAGATGATATTCTTCGTAGTTGTTATAAAATTGTCAGTACGAAGGAGCAGTGGGAACACCAATGGTCGGACGAAATGAGAGACTCGGTGAAGAGCAAACTAGAGTTGTATCCATTGGGTGCGTGGTGGGAAACCCGTCTTGGCAACAAAGGCTCTTTACAGTGTTCTAGACAGTGATGATGAGAAGGTATCCCTACGGCTCATCCCTTATCGACAGCGGCACTACGGGGGCAGTGTGAGTGCCATCGTCAGTGGTGGGACGGTTAGTCGATTATAGTTAGTATAAGAATAGTTAGCACGAGGGAGCAATGGGAACACCAATGGTTGGACGAAATGAGAGACCCGGTGAAGAGCAAACTAAAGTTGTATTCATTGGGTGCGTGGTGAAAAACCCATCTAGGCAACAAAGGCTCTTCACAATGTGATTAGACAATGACGATGGGAGGGTAACCCTACAACCTTTCTTCTTGCTTAGCTCCTGTTCTCTGAGTTTATAGGTAGTGAGTATATGTTCGTTCTTAGTTTTTCGATGCTTCAAATGCTGGGATATGCTTGTAGTGGTTTAGGGTGAAACTCACGGGGTGGGGATGATATGAGACACTCGGTGAAGAGCAAACTAGAGTTGTATCCACTGGGTGCATGGTGGGAAACCCGTCTAGGCAACAAAGGCTCTCTTTACAGTGTTTGGGTCAGTGATGATGAGAGGGCAACCCTACGGCTTATCATTTTCCCGGCTTTTAGATTGTTTCTGTAGATAGATATTTGTGCAAATCCTGCGCCTCGCAGTCCCCTAACGATTCCGCTTCTGGCGGGCGGATGAAACGCTGCGTAGGGACACGCCAGCATGGCACTGATTATGTGCTTATTTCATTATTTATCTATCTGTGCCTGATTTTTGCGCGAACCCAATTGTCTCCATAGCTTTTTGGTTTTGTCTTTTATCTTTCTCGTGTCATGTGCTGCACGTCCTTTCGTGTAAAAAGCTCCATGTCACTTGTGTCTTTCTTATCTTCCGTTTTCCATGAGACTCAGTCTATCTCTCTTCGTTTGTTGCTTCTTGCCTCTATGGCCTTATGCTGATCGCATTATCCCTTCATTACCTACTCCTAAGGCTATCTAGAGGGGACCCTGCGGCAAGCATAGTTTCCTCTCACTGTGAAGGGGAGTTGTTCGAAATAAGTTTAGGGTTAAATTGTAAAATTATTAAACTGAAAATTTCCATGAATTGTCGAGATTTGAAGTTAATAGCTCGCAACTTTTGCCAATAGTGCTTCGTTCTTAGAAACATGCCGGCATTTTCCTGTGTAGCAAGGATATTAAACTGTTATAGATTTGCTTTGCAATTTTTTATTTTTGGAGATTCTTTAAAGGGACACTGGACCCGGTTTCCAGGAGCATAAGCTGAGTATTGGCCTCATCAGATTCGTACCTGGTTGATATGTAGGCGTGTGTTCCCGGGCCCCGGTGGTCTCATTGGAATAAAAATTGTTATGTTTCTGCCCAAAAAAAAAAAAAAAAAAGAATCAGCACCCCATTGTGGAGAGAGAACATATTTGTTTTATTTTTTATTAATAGAGAGAGAGAACAGATTAGAATTCCCATGTTTAGTGATTGTATGGAAAAATCTTCAGTGTATGCAAGCAAAATTCCCGAAAATTTGCCCCCCCCCCCCCCCCAAAAAAAAAAAAAAAAAAAAAAAATCCTCGAAAGGGGCTTACATGTCAACTTACGGGGGTATTTCGCCAAAAAGGTTGAAACGTGGAGCCCCAAATTCTTCGAGGAACTTTCCGGAAGAACCCCAGTGGAATACGAACCTAAGGGCCAGATCCCACTAGCCCCTATTGTTCATTTCGGACCGTTGATCTTCATAATCGAGGGTAAAAAATGAATAATCCAGGGTAGTGGGATCTGACCCTAAGAAACGAAGCGGAAAATCAGGGTTCCCGCCCGAATCGCTCCCCCCACCTGGCCCGACGACGTAATTTAAGGGCCTGATCCGACTTCTTACAGGAACGTCACTTTTAGGCAAAATTTGGGATCCCACTTCTTTCCACGAAAGTAGGATCCCGCCCCTGAATGTCGGGGATGTGAAAATTGTGTCGTACGTGTAGGCACGACCGTGATCACAGGGGCGGTATTTCTTTTGGTTTTCGGGAGACGCCGACCCCCTTTTCTCTAGCGAAAAATAAGGCAGCATTTCTTTTTTTTTCTTTTTTTTTTCATCGGTCCAAACGGTAGTCCAGGAATGTCCGCCTTCGGTGGACAGTGTGTGACGGACGGCATGGTACCGTAACCCCGACGGGCCGTACAGGACACCACGCGGTGTCCGAACGGACAGCACACAAACCTGACCCCGCAGACCCGCCCACAACAACCCGCCGCTTTCCTCGAAAAAACACCTACGAAACCGGGCAACTGGGATTCCATTCTACTTGTATGTCCCTTGTGGACCGGCTCCACTGAAAGTGGTTCTTTTACGTTCTTACGAAAAACGGTAGAAGTCGGATCAGGCCCTTAGGGCATGATCCGACTTCTTACAGGAACGTCACTTTTAGGCAAAATTTGGGATCCCACTTCTTTCCACGACAGCAGGATCCCGCCCCTCAATGTCCAGGATGTGGAAACGGTGTCGTACGTGTAGGCACGACCGTGATCACAGGGGCGGTAGTTCTTTTGGTTTTCGGGAGATGCCGACAGCATTTGCCGGCAGCATTTCTTTTTTTTTCATGGGTCCAAATGGTAGTCCAGGAATGTCCACCTTCGGTGGACAGTGTGTGACGGCCGGCACGGTACCGTAACCCCGACGGGCCGCACAGGACACCACGCGGTGTCCGAATGGACAGCACACAAACCCGACCGCGCACACCCGCCCACAGCCTCTTTCCTCGAAAAAGCACCTAAGAAACGGGGCAACTGGGATTCCATTTTGCTTGTACGTCCCTTGCGGACCGGCTCCACTGAAAGTGGTTCTTTTACGTTCTTACGAAAAACGGTAGAAGTCGGATCAGGCCCTTAGGCTTTAGGCTCGGCTTTACTGCGGTGTATGGGCAGGGGTATTGGGGTCAGTTTGAAATTTGGTAGGGGTATTTACGTAATTTTTGCGGACATCCCGCTTCGCACGCGTGAACGAATCGACGTGTCTTTTTATTTTTTTATTTTTTTTTAATTTTTAATTTGGACCATTTGGGCCTTGCTAATCTCCCTTCTCTGTATCGTTCCAATTTTAACGGATGTCCCCAAGGACGGCGCGGTAATTTAGGCTCGGCTTTAGTTCGCGTTTCTGGCGGGGGTATCATGGTCATGTCGATGTTCGGTAGGGGTATCCACGTAACTTGTGCAGTCTTCCGGTGATGAGCGGAGGACGAAGGGGGACAGAGAGGAGAGTAGAGGAGGGTAGAGGAGAGTAGAGGAGAGGTTGAACCCCCCACCCCATCTTCTACCGTAGCTCGTACACGGTGCGCTGAAAAGACTAGTACTCGTAAATCGGATTGAACACAACATCTTTCACAAAGCTTCAATGATATTGCCGACTTCTGTTAAGGCTTCCATCATATTGCCCTCCTTGGCGGGAAAAAGGGTGAGAGAGGGAGCTGGCAGGAAAAAGGGTTTTTTCAAGGCTACCGTCATATTGCCCTCCTTGGCGGGAAAAACGGTGAGAGAGGGACGTGGCGGGAAAAAGGGTGAGAGAGGGAGGTGGCGGGAAAAAGGGTGAGAGAGGGAGGGGGCGGGAAAGTGGGACAGAAATAGCGGGAAAAGGCGGGGAAGAAAGGTGCACCGGAGACTGACGAGTGCGGTCGTACGACCGGTCGGTGGATCGATTGGTATTCGTGGGCCATTTGGGAGCTCGCTACGAAGTCCGCGAGCGTTGGTGGTCTGTTTGTTGCACGGTAAGCTTCACTCTCCTCCCTCTCCTCTCTCCTTCATTCCCACCCTCGTCTCTTCTCTTTCCTCTCTTGCTCCTCTCTCTCTCTTTCTCGCTCTTTCTCTCTGTGCCTTAGTTTTTTCTTCGTCTTCCTCCTGCCACCGGTCTCCTTCCTTCTGTCGATTCAGTGTTCTACCGCTTGCTTCTCTCTCCACGCCCAGGGGCTACCGGCAGGTCCCACTTACACGAATTAAGAGATACTGACCGTAGATAGCAAAGATCAACCGCCGGAATCTCTTAATCCGTGCAAGTGGGACCTTGCCCCTGGACCACTCTACATCCCTCAAGGAGTGGCCTTTGGGCTTTCTTCTGTCTTGTTCCCGCCCGTGCCTGTGCGGTCATGTTTTCGTGTCCATCCGTTTTGTTCCTCTTTTTTTCGTGCCTCTGTGTGTGTGTGTGTGTGTGTGTGTGTGTGTGTGTGTGTGTGTGTGTGTGTGTGTGTGTGTGTG